TTTATGCAGAAACTGGTTAATGTTCTAAGCTTATCATTCTATAATTTACTAATGAAACCTTGAAAATTCATGTCAACAAATAATCTATTATTGGATTTTCAGAAGTTTGCAATTTTTTGTGCACAATTTTTAGATTTTGTCAGTTTAGTTTGAAAAGGAACATGCTTAATTTATAAAGGCTTTTGGATATTCTAAAATGGAGATTTTCACGATCTGTTTGGGTTGATCTAACTTAATCTGCATTAGTATCAAATTGTGCTCATAGATGTTGATCTGAGAATGAATGAAGAAGCTTAACTCTTTCAACTTTTTGGGTGAAAATGGGTTAACATGTATATTGAAAGCTTCATTGTTGAAGGCATAAATCATTTTAAGTTAATGGATGCCATGCTATATGAAGCTACCCATAGTCAAACCAAATTCTCTTATGAAAAGGGAAAGGTTTTCTAATTCTGATAAAGCAGATATTTTGACTAAATAGATGTTTTTGATTTACTACAGTGGATTCCAAAATGAGAATGGTTGTTCTTGGCAGCTTTCTCTTTAATGGAAGGCATTGAAACATAAACAACCTTCTTATATATTTTGATATGGTTTTAACCTTGTACTGTTCTGGAAAAAAAAATGTTTTCAGAGAATGACAGTTGAAAGTAGCTTGAGAAGGTCATTTTAGTGTATTTGAGAGAACTTATATTGTAACCGAATTGGGACTTCATGGCATTTTCTTAATAATCTCATAAGCTTCCTCAACCCTCCCAGCCCATCCAAACAAATCCACCATACACCCATAGTTATTCACTATTGGGCTGATATTATATATTTTCAATCAATTTTTTATTAAGTCAGAAGAACATGTTCAGGAAATGATCCTAGTCTGTAATCATGTGATATTTCATTCTGTTCTAATAAAAAAAGAATATCTAGAACAATGAAGAGATGCTTTAGAATCTGGAGTTATTTTTAAAACAGCCTCTAAAATGTTTAAATGAACTCAATTTCTTGACCACCCAATTTGTTAGGTCTTGTGCAACGCATATCAAGAGTTCCAAGTAAAGCTGAGTCAGATCCTGATCCCTATCAGTGAAGAGATACAAAACTCTGCTGCATAATTACATTGTGAGTTACTAAATTGAGACTTGAATTACCTTCCATTTTCTTGGGCATCTTTTCCATCAGAACTGATTATTGTGGGCACTTGTAATTCATCAAAATCACTCGGTTTGTCTATGAGAAGTCTTGATAGACTTTTGCAGAATTGGTAATCATGTTCAAGTTAATAACTAAGTATACAGGCTCACAAAGTTTCAGCTTGAGCAATTCGTTTTTACCTCTTTATACATCCTTGGATATTTCTACCATAGAATAAATGGGAGTTACTTGAATGACATGATTTTCCACGACTTACACTATATTCTGGGCACCTTGATTGGTTTTATTGAATTTAATATTTCTGAAGTGAGTTTGACTTCTTAGTAGGCCATATGGTATTGACTTGGAAGAATTATCAAACTTTATCAGGTCTGGACAGTTTCTAAGGAACTTAGGTATTTCTTATGTGGGTCTAAGAAATAATTAGTCTCCATTCTATTGTCAACAATCCAATCAGATTACCTTTCTACAACTTCTGCAAACTCTCCCTGAAAATGAAATTGCAAAAAAGTAAACCAATTGATTTCACTATAAATTTGGCCACATAGCAGATCATGTTCTAAAAGTTTCCAGTGTAGAAACTGAGAGAGAAGGGTCACCCAAAACCAGACAGTAGCTGGAAAACATTGCATTAGAGATTGTATTTTCCCTTTCTTAGAAAAAACTTTTTTAAATTCCAACATTGCATTAGAGATTCCATAGTAGCTGGAAAACAACCACCAACCCCAAAGAAACCTGTGAACGCCCTCCAAATTGTATTGGCCCACCTTGCAATGGACTAAAAGTGAATGGCAGAATCCACTGCTATCCCACACATCACACATTGGTCATTGTCAATCAAGATTTACCTTCTTGAAATGGGCACTTGGCATGCATTCCTGTGCTATCAAACAACATTCTTGTGTTGTTATGAAATAGCAGAGCCTATGCATGCAACTGTGTTTGAAAGATGTTAATGTTATTGGAGGACTTTGGAAATATATTTTGAAATAGCAGAGCCCGTGCATGCTTGAAGTCAAACTGTAGGTTATGAAATAGCAGTCTCTCACTCTTCTTGTATGTTAATAAATATACCATTTTTACTATTGATAAATAAATAAATGATGAAGACAGCATAAAGATAATAAGTGTATATGAAGAACATGAAATTTTATTTTGATAGTTGAAAGGCAGAAATGATAGGGTTGCACACAATAAATCCTAATTTCTTATGGTGACGAAAATTTCTTGGGCATTTTGGCAATTCCTACCAAGTTGTAAGTGGGCCCAACATAGTAGATTGATTTGTCTATTTATAACACAGTTATGTACTAGTGCTTATAATTTCAGTCATTAATTCGTAAGTAGATTAGGAGTTATTATACTTACTTTAAATTAGGTTATCTGAACAATAAATCTGAAATTTTCTGCTGTTTTAGTTTTAGTACAAATGACCAATCCCTACAATCTATAAACATGTCCGTAAGATAAAGAGATCAATCATTATGTTTTGAGTTAATTTTGAGGATTTCCATCAAAACGTACAGTAATATTTGGTGCCCAGATTCAGGATCTTTTCTCTTCTTTCTTTATCTCTTGCCATTTAAGCTAACTCCAACATTGATTACTAAACAATGACCAGACAAAATACCACCATTCAACATGATTAGAGCACAGATAGCTAATCCATGTATTTTCTTACATCCATTTCCAAAAACCTACCCAACATTCCCCATCCCCCCCCCACCCATATTTTTTGATCAACCCCCTCCCCCCCTTATATTTAACCTCCTAACCATCCTTTGACAGGTTTGCAAAACTCCACCTAGAATTTCCTAGGTTTCTACACATAAACATCTTTTTTTTTTTGTTTTTTTGTGCAAAATCTACCAAAAAACCTACTAAAGTTAGATAGGAAATTTTAGCTTTGCTGTAGGGTTTGAGACTCATGTATACTCTATTTACAAAGATCAGAAGTTGAAGATTTAAAGATTGTTACTAACTGAATGACTGGTAAGGAGGATAATGCATGGTAGATTTGACACACCTTGTGTGATCATCCCACTAAATTAGATCAAGAGATATGGTTAATAAATTAGCAAGTGTTTGGGACACTTGTGAATAGCTATTCTAGTCTTTGTGCAACAGTAAAGATGGTTCAAGGTGATATATTTAATGGTGCTTGATTCCCTTTTGTGTATATATTTTTCATAGATGGTGCATTTGAAAGCTAATGTTTTGAAATGATTAACTGATCATTCAAGTAGGTAATGGTATTTATAATGGAATATTTTTCTTTTACGGTAAATGTGCCCTTATTCCGAAGGTTTTTGATACTTAAGAGGTGTCACTTTGCGAAGAATAAAATGGTCTATACATGATGAAACAATGTTGCACGGAAGCTTTTTTTCTTCGCCTTAATCCTCCTTCCTCGTCTAGCCCCTCTTCCAAGCTTACCCTTTGCAAAAATCTATGTGCTTCTTTTTAGTCTTTGTTGTTTCGTAGTTTCCTACCTTACAACAAAGGGGGGAGTTGTTAACACCCGATTTTTGATTGGTCTGCCACTTAAACCCCTAATTTACACTGAACGCTCGATCAGACCATTCCGATCACTCCGAAAATGCCAAAAAACCCAAAGAACCCAAATTTCAACCTTTGAGCCCTCAAATCCACCGTTAAATCTACTCAATACTAATCCAATGGCCCTGATCAACCCCCGTCTACACTTTGACCCTTAGACCAAACATCACCATTAGACTCAAGACATCCTAAAATACCTTACCATTAAATTTCGGCTGAAAATTCCTTCATTTAGCCTCTCATAAAAAAGATTCCATTTTGACCCCTTTTCGTTAGCCTAAAACACCTAGAACCCATATCCCATTTGATCTAACACATTTGTGTCAATCAGACCATACGATTGAGCCTTAGACAGAACAAAGTCCATAAAGTTTTGACAAAAAATTCCCCTATTTACCCCTCCAATGAGTCAAGATTCCGTTATAAACCCTCTTATGAACCCAAATTCCCTCAATCTGGACACCCTCTCCAAATGCCTACCCTATCCATCAAATTTCAACCAAAATTACCTTTGTCTGCCCTTCCATCTAAAAAGATTCTATTTTATGACTCTAAATTGACTGAGTTACAAATTTATATGATCCAGGTCCAGTTAGACTAATTTGACCCCACCAGTTAATCCAAAATGCATATAAACCTCACCCTAAAAAATTACAACCAAGACCACCCTCATTTACCCTTACATCTATAAAGATTCCATTTTTAAGGCTCTAGATTGACTGAATCCCAAATTTGTTTGATTTGGGTCCAATTTGGTCAATCTGACCCCATTGTTCAACCTAGAGTGCTCAAAACCCTATCCTATAAAATTTCAACTAAAAATATCTTTGTTTGCCCCTTCATCGCACCTAGAATCCATTTCGAAGGCCCAAATTGTTTAAATTGGTACCCTTCTAGATCTGCCCGATCTAGGCCTAGTTCTGCCAATCTAACCTATCAATCAACCGAGAGTCCTCAAAAACCCTATCTTGTGAAATTTTAACCAAAAATACCCCTGTTTACTCATCCATATGGAAAAATTCCGTTTTGGCCAATCTCTTTGCCCCACACACACAAAACCCTCTTTCCGGTCAGAACCCTTTGACCCAAAAATCCCTACCATTAAACCAGAATCCCGATTTGACCCCAAAAATCTCCACTATTAAACCAAAATCCCGATTTGACCCCGTAAACCCGGTTTCGCCCAAATATCTCAAAATTACCAAAATGCCAACTTCCAAAAATTTACGAAAATACCCTTTTATCTCCCCGTATAAATTTACTTTCTCCATTTGCCGTGGTCCACTATTCATTGGCTTCTCCCATCGAACCCGAAAGGCAGAACGGCGAGAAGGAGCTCTCGACACAGCGCTGGTAATCCCCGTCCACCTCCGGCCCCTCATTTTTCACTCTCTTCTTCTCTTTTCTCTCCCTTCTCTCTCTTCTTCCTCTCCCCAGTTCTCCCCTGATTTTTTTTGTTTCTTCTCTGCCATCGCCGCTGCAACTCTTGTTAGCGGCGGTTCGGCTTTTCTCTCATTTCACACTCTCCCTCACTGATTTCTCTGTCCTCACCGCATCGCTCTCTCTTCTCTCCCCATTGAACCGAACTCGGCTTTTTGTACTGTTCATCGTCTTCTATCCGGCGAACAGCAGCTGCGTTGCCCCTTCATCTCTGGCTCCTCTCCCCTTCGTTCCTCTCTCTCTACTCCGTTTTTCTTTATTTTTTTTATTTTCTCCCCAATCTCTCTTTCCTCTCAATCTCACCCACCCTATTCGAGTGCTACGAGATTACCGCTACCGCTGTAACTTCCGGCGGCGGTGAACTTCTTCCTATCTCTTCTCTATCTCACATTCTCTCTCGTTTTTTTTTTCTTTCTCTCTCCCTCTTTACCCGTTCTCCTCTCTCCCTCTCTCCATTACCCCATCCATATTGCCCAGTCGACCACCGCTTCCCTTCCCTCTCTCCATTGTTCTTCGTCGGTTGAACATTTCCAACGTCGTTCGGAGTCTGCAACTAAGCATCGTCCATTTCGTTGAGTTCCAACCGCAAGCACCAGTCGTTGTAGCAGATCGAAGGCAAGAAGCTAGACCGGAACCGTCCGAATCTACCCTGTTCATCAATCGTTCTCAGGTCTGGTAAGTTCTGTTTTCATCTCCTGTTTTCATCTCCTCTACATTTCGCTTTTTTATTTGTTTCCATTTCCTTTTATTTCTCTGTTTTGGCTCTTCTCGGGTTGGAGCTGGTAATGAGATTCCTCTGAATCATCTCCTGTGAACTCTAGACGCCAATCCGATCCCTATCGTTTATCTTGCCGCTGTGATTCACACATAGATCTCTTATTTTTAGTTTTTTCCTGTGAATGCTTTTTCTGATGCATATAACTGAGGGCATGGTCATTGGTTAATTGGTTAATTTGATCTGTTTTTTTTTTTTCATTCTGTTTTTGGTAATTAAGCTTCTGGTGGGGATGAAAGATGGATGAAATTAGGATCAATTTCTAGTGTTTCTGCCTCTTGATTTATTGATCTGTAAATTGCCCTGCACTTTGTGAGACTGAATTGGTTTCACTGGTTTCTAATCAGTTCGGTTTTTCTTTTCTTTTTTTTTTCCTATGCCAAGGGTTGTCGCTTGACATTAGAATCGGATAGCTTAGCTGATTTAAGTTTTTGTAAAAAAAAAGTGTGAAGACTGCAGCTGCAGCTGAAGATAAGATTTAAATCAAAAACAAAACGTAAGGAGGAAAAGAGGAGTTGGTGATTAGGGGAATACAGTAGGCCAGGGGATATTCGGTTTTGTTGCAAATTAGAGTGAGAAGGAGGAATGTCTGACAAAACAATTCAAAAATAAATGAATGATTTTAATAAACAATAATTGATTCAGGCTACCTAAAGTCTAGGCTCGAGCCTAATAAAATTTAAAAAATCCGAACTTTGGACCGAAAATTTAAGCCCAGTGCATATAAAATAGCGGATTGGATCGGTTCGGGATCGGGTTGGATCCGCCAAAGTTGCACCTGAACGCAGCTGAACTGTGTAGTTCGGTTGTTTCCTTCTATTCAGCCTCTCTCTCTCTCTCTCTCTCTCTCTTGCCACTCAATTACTTTTATTTAAAGTTTCAACTTCAAGTAAATTTACTAGGCTCTCCGCCCAAGACCAGTCTCAAACCCTAATACATAAAAAAAAGACCGTTGGATTGGATAAGCTTCAGGGGGAAGAATTTACTTGTATCTCTGTTTCAAAACCAGTCTCCGCCCTTCAACTTCAAGCAAATTTACTTGTATCTCTATTTTCATCTTCTTTTCTCTTTTCTTTTCCTTTTTGTTGAAAGAGTTTCCTTCTCCGTTTTATATGTGATGTATGTATTTGGTGGATAGATGGATTGTAAATGTTCTAAGGCACTTATTTCTGTTTTTACAGGGGGAAGAATGAAAGTGAAGATACTCCGTATCCTTTCCAAAAATTTCTATAGCTTTCCAAAAATTGCTCAAGATGCGTTTGAAAATTCGAAATTATTTGATTTACTTAATTTGTTAACATTGGGAATTATAAATTCGTCCTTCCAACTGGATGTATACATAGAAGTAGAAACATATTATTTCAATATTTTGAGAAATGAAAACATTGCTGAGAAATTAACATTCATATGAATCAGCCTTATATGATGAATTTATTTTTCCGAATGCCAAGGAAATTTAAATCGAGAAGATTTCGTTCTGCACGGTTTATAAATGCCCAGTTAATGTTTTGATTAAAGCTTTGTTGCTTCAGTTTATTTAATTATTATGTTATTTCTCTTAAAAATCGAGATAATGTGATTAAATAGGAGGGATGTTGCTAAGATTGTTGGAATTCTTGTTCACTGTTTAGATATTTTCATATGTACAACACTTGATCCTTAACCTATTCTTCTATGACATCTTGGTGGACTTTTATCAGAGTATGTATTCTCTATCTCTTAATTAACTTGCATAATACATACACACACGCAGATTCCTCAGAATAAAGTCCAAGCTGTAATCACAATTTTCGTAGGATATAATAGGGGATGTAAACCTATCAGATTCAAATATGATATACTTGGGTCTAAGTTTGATTTGTTAATGGTTAGATTTGAATAAATTCTTATCCATTTTATTCGGAGCTGACTTAGATCTGATTCGGATGTTGTATATTGTTGATAAATTGATCTAAATATAATCAAAATATGAACAAAGGCCATTACGCAATGTTGGTTCCAGCGGTCTGGGTTATTGGGAAGGGGTAGACTGGATATAATCAAAATGAACTAGAAATGAGTTTGAGATTGTATATCATGATTCATGAGTAAAATGACTTAGAAAATTTAACTTCTGAGTCTTGAACCTATCACTCTTTAGTAAACATGCAATGTCCAAACTTACCTTTAGATACATATTAGCTTATTTTTTTTAATTGGATCAAATTGGGGTGGTCCATATTTGATCCAATTATAGCAGATTAAATTTGGATCTCTTTAGCCCTATAGATTTAAGTTTGAATTTGGACCCGAGGAGATTATTTGCAGTCCTAGGATACACAAATTTCTTTTAGGCAAATGCTAGTATATGGAAATCACATGCTATGGGAATGAATTGTGACCATGCAACCCCCTTGTATTGGTATGCATGCTGCATGCCACTTTATGACCCTGGATCCTACTTTATGAAGTATGACCTCAGATCACAGGCTAGTATAATCCTTTCTTTTATTAAAACCTTTAAACTTCAATTGTTGATGAGTTTTCTTCTGTTTTTCTAATTTTTTAACTGATTACTTATTTAACTCCATTATTATGTTACATTCCATTATCATTATTTGCCTTCTTAATATCATAGAATGCTATAGTTATCCTTTCTTTTTTACATTTTCCATTTAAATTGCAGGTGGCATGCCATAGCATCTTGGACATGGGACGCCCAAGATGAAACATGTGGGATCTGTAGGATGGCTTTTGATGGTTGTTGTCCTGATTGTAAACTCCCAGGGGATGATTGCCCTTTAAGTAAGTTCATGTTACTGTTACCCTCACAAACTTCATTGTTTTGACTTTGTTAGACTATTAAGCTTGAATATAATAATGTCATGCTTAATAATTTCCAATTAACTAGCAAACATTATTTGATGAATAATCTGGGTTGAAGCAATTCCCTTACTGGTGCAAATATCATAACTCCTGCATTCTAACTTTACACACTCAGATGATAGATCATACCACATTGTGTTGTAAATTTTATACACCATTCCATCTCGTAACTTTAGGAGTTGATTGAATGGCAATAATGTTACAAGGTTTTTCAGAGCCACCTAAATTGGAGAGACATGATAACTTGCTCAAAATTCTTTGTCATGATATGTTGGATTTTAACATTTTAACTGCATGCTCTCTTTGTACTAGGATTTATGTTGGTTGTAAGATTTCAGGAGATAACCTTTAAGGGATGCATTTGGGTTCTCAAGTGCTGTTGTAAATTAGTTGTTTTTGCAGGTTGAAAATATAATTGATTTTTCTTGTAGGTGCTAATTGGATGATTTCAGTTTGTGATGGTTATGCTGTATTTGATTCTGCTAGAGGGTTCTAATTGGTTGATCTCAGTTTATGGTGATTGTGCTATGCTGCTATGATAAAAACATTTCTTTTACTGAAATGTTTGAGTCAGTTGTTAAAATCTTATGATTTATGATATGATTCACTATTCAATGAATTATTGATTACGATTTAACTATTGATCCTTTTGCGCAATTTTACTCTTTCTATTTTCTTATTTATAATTTCCATCTCTCTGTTTTTCTTTCTTCTTTCTTTCTCTTTTGTTTTCCTTTCTTTCATCCTTTCATTGTCTTTTTTTTTTCTTTTTTTAATGCAGCATTCACTAATTTAGACAAATGTACCATAGTGGGGTATATAAGCCTAGTATTTGAATTAATCTTGTTCTTTTGCAGTTTGGGGTGCATGCAATCACTCGTTCCATCTCCATTGCATCTTGAAATGGGTGAACTCTCAAACTTCTCAAGCCCATTGCCCCATGTGTCGCCGGGAATGGCAATTTAAAGGATGAAAGAAATTAAATTTTTTGTACTGCACTGCTGCTTCGTTTGTGTGATGTGTCAAGCATGAAGGTTGTGAGATATGGATTGTTATTAAACATGTGAGTAACCAGTCACTTAAATATTTCTTGATTTTCTGGATAGTTTTGTAAGTTAATGAAAAACGAGGTTTTTTTTAAGGCGTTTATTTATGTACTGTTCTTTTAGTCAATGACATTAGTCAGATCATTCTCCATTTATTTGAAGTGCCATAGTTAAGTGAAAATGATACAATCATATATGCTACCCAGATACAACAAGGCCACACAGCTGAATATGGTATTGGATATGATGAAATTTGCCCTAAAAATTAAAGTTTTCCACATGGTATGGCACCCTTGTACAGGTATCTATGGATTCGGGTATAAATGTATCATAGACAATTTTGTGTTTTTTCTTTTTAATGAAGATAATTCTGTGTATTATTATTCACTACACATTTCAGATCTACAGTGGATGAATAAATAATTATTTATATTCAAAAGGGGAGGGATTGGAGAAGATGTCAGTCATGTCACCCAAAGAATTAGAGTGGGAGTTAGATAGGTGAAATGGTTGGGTGCATTTGGAGTCTTATGTGATAGGGATACCACTTGGGCTAAAATCCAGAAAAGGAATTTGGCATTATTGGTGAAATGGCTCTGGAAATTACATGCAGAGGAAGGAAAGTTATTGGTGTAAGTGGTGGTGAGCATTTACAGGCTTGCAGTGAATGGATGGGTTGATGGAACTCAGGCTAGGATTACAAGAGCATCACCTTGGAAAGCCATCCAAGCTTCTGTTCCTTTGTTCTTGCCGTGGATCAGGTATAATTTACATTCTGGCAACCGAATCAACTTTTGGGACAGACTTGGATTGGGGATTTTCCTTCGAAAGATTAGTTCCCTTATTTGCTTTCTCCAATTATGAGAATGTGCCTATTTGTTTTTTGATACTGTCAAATTCCACTGGTAGGTTTGGTTGGGATTTGGGATTCAGATGGGCTGTTGGGGACCCTGATGGGATTTTCCTGAATCCTACTAAGCCTGATAAAAGGATTTGACCCTCTCTCCCTCTTGTTCATTCTGTTGTGCTTCCTATTTTAAAGCCTTAACCCAGTTGGATGACCACGGGGTGTTGCCATTTCCCACAGAGGAAATGTGGGGTAGGCCTATTCCACTAAGGGTTAGGAGCTTCTGTTGGGAGGTTTTTCTAAAAAGAATCAACACATGTGATTTTCTTCAAAGAAAAAGACCTAAAAGCTACTTATCCCCTCAATGGTGTATCCTTTGTAAGGCCAATGGTGAGAATTGCTATCACTTACTAATTACTTGTACTTTTGTGAAAGATATTTGGGAATGGTTTCTCTTTGTTTGGGTGTAGATGGGTTCTTCCACCAAATGTGCAAAGCTTGTTTTCCAATACCTTTTTCTGCTAGCCTAGGAAGGGCTGTCATTGTTTGGACAATGTGGGAGGAAAGGAATTCATGGATTTTTCCAGCAAAGGACAGAAGCAAAGAAACTATCTTGGAGGTGATTTTCTCTAGAGTGGTGCATTGCCTGAAAACTTTGGAAACATTTAAGGACTTTTCAATGGTTGATATGCTAAGAAGTTGGACGGCATTGCTTCTTCAGCCCCCGATCAAGGAATCCTCAGTCCTATCCTGGTGTCCTCCCCTTAATGGTTTTCTCAAGTTTAACTTTGATGGAAACAGTGCTGGAAATCCAGAACCTTGGGGCATTGGGGGAGTGATAAGGGATGAAAAAGGGAACATAATTGCCTTATTTTCAGCCCTATTGGAGTTGGTGACTCCCTTAGGGTTGAGATACTTGCAGTTTTGGAAGGAGTTCAAACTTCAAAGAGCTAAGGAGCCGAGCATTAATAAACTGATAATAGAAGGGAACTCTAAACTGGTTGGGCTGGCTGAACGAGAAGCAGGATGGTCTTTGGGCTTACAACAATGAAAAGAAAAAATTCAAGTGGTTGACTCAGGGCATGGGTTTAAAGATCTGCCAAATTCTTGGGAGAGTTGAGAGAATTTTACCTCTCCTTTGTGTCATCATATTTTCTCTACCCTTACAAGTCACACAAATTGGATTTTTGATCCAGAAATTGTGTTTCTTGATTATGTTCTGTCACAAAGGGTGTTATGTCTTGACAAGTCTTCTAGCTGTATCTTTGTTTTGATGCATGTAGTGTTCAATGAATCTCATTGTTTTGCCTTGGCCGAATCACCTCGTCATCTACTTGTTCTCTATCTCCAATTGTTGGTCCACCGTCGGTGATCTCTTTCCCTATGACAACTACTATTGGCTTGACCCCATTATTGCATACTTGTGCTGACTTTTTCATTGCCCTCTTAGCCATCTGAGCCTTCTCCAGAGCTTGCATAACCCTGTTGGCGTATGACTACTCGTTTTCAGTATGGGATTGTTAAACTAAATCCAAATATGCACTTCATGTTAGTACACTTCTAGAGATTGAACCTACTTGTTAGAAATAGGTTCAAAAGGATCCACGTTGGGTTCTTATTATGGCTGATTAATACAAAATCCTCGTGCACAATAAAAATTGGTCACTTGTTCCTCCACTGGGTGCTTATTATGGCTGATCCACGTTGGGTGCTTATTATGGCTGATTAATACAAAGCCCTCACTTGTTGCAAAGGGTAACATTCAAGAGGCCAGCCAATATTGATTTTGATGAGACATTTAGTCTAGTTGTGAAACCCACTATCATTTCATACCCTACTAGCTTTGGCTATTTCTTTTGGCTAGCATATACATCAACTTGATGTGAGTAAGCCTTTTTTCATGGGTTTATCGATAAAGATGTTTATATGAAGCAACCAATTGGTTTTATTTATCCTTGTTTTTCCTTAGTATGTTTATAAGGTTCAAGAATCTATATATGGGCTTTAAGCAGACATAGAATGGTTCCACTGTCTCCGTGATCATGTCCTTCAGCTTCACTTTGTTGCTTCACATGTTGGCCCGTCCCTCTTCTTCAAGCGGATGTTCATATTACTCGTATATTAGCATGTTGACCCGTCTCTCTTTTCTTCACATGTTGACCCGTCTCTCTTCTCTATATGGGCTTAAGCAGACATAGCATGGTTCACTTTGCATTACGTGACCTTGGACCGGCTCACTATTTTCTTAGGCTTGAACTTCGAAGCGCTACTTCTGGTTCTGGTGTGCAAATCTCCCAAAGTCCCCAACATAAGTATATTCAAGACCTTCATCGTTGCAAGTTACAGGATATCAAACTTGCTCCAACACCCATGTCGGCTTCTACTAGGTTGGATGCCACCTCTAGTACCTTCTTTTCTGATTCCACTCTTTATCGTAGCACAATAGGTGCACTACAATAAGCTATCTTGACTTGGCCTGAGATTTTATTTGCCATTAACAAGGTCGGTCAATTTATGAAGTCCCCAATTGATGTCCATTGGTCCACCGTTAAACTTATATTGCGTTTTCTCAAAGGGACAATTGGTCTGTGTCTATTCTTTTCTTGCGACTCTCCTCACACTCTTGAGGCATTTTTTTGATGCCGATTGGGCAACTTGACCCGTTGATATAAAATCTCCAAGTGGTTCTTACATTCATCTTTGGCATAATCTAATTGCTTGGAGTTCGAAGAAATAGTAAATTATTTTCTATTCTAGCACTGTCCAAGAATATCGGTCTCTTGCTTTTACCACTTCTGATATTATTTAGGTTTCTATGCGTAGGACTGTCAACGGGTCAGGTCTAGGCCAGCATCAGCTAGAATCGGAATCAACTCAAAATGAACCTGGAACCAAACCGATTAATTCTTAGGACAATCGGGTCTGATCTGACGGACTTGATTATAATAAATAAATATGTTTAATATATATTAAATATTATACATATTATGTATATTATATAAAGCTCGGGTCTGAATCGATTCAGGGTTGGGTGGAATCAATTTTGAACCGAAAATAATCAGGATTTTCGAGTTTGACTAGTTGAGTTGGTAATTTTGGCAAATTTTTAACCCAATCTAGTCATGGTCTAACCGGTCCAATAGGCCAATCGGTAGGGTGATCATTTCAGCTCGGCGTGGCCCAAAAATTCTGGGCTTGGGCCTAGGTTTTGTGTTTAGGCCTGGCCTAGGTTTGGGCCCACATCAGGCCTACAAATTTTAAGGGCGGGTTTGGGCTTAATACTTCAAGCCCGGCCTGGTCCACATATATTTAAACTTACACATTTTGTGTATAATGTATACAAGTTATTTTACATTATGTTATATATTTTATATATAAATATTATAGCATGACATGTATAATTTATATTATACTAGTAATTAAGCACATGCATTGCACGTGAGAAAAATTTCTTTATATTAATTATTTGAATTTTAGATATATCATGGTGAAGATAGAAATTGAAAATTAACAAAAGTAACAATATGATTAAAGAAAAACTTAAGTGCTTGTAGCAAATAACAATTATTATTATTATTATTATTATTATTATTATTATTATTATTATATTTTGTATTGCATTTTTATTTTTGATGTTCTATGTTTTTTTAAATATTTATTATTCAATTATGACATCATGTGTTTCTTTGAAAAGTTGGATCATTAACCCACCATCTCGATAAGAAAATAGCTTTGCTTCTGTATTAGTTTTAAATTAGGAAAAATTATAGTCGGAGTTGGTTGTACATTTAAAATTAGGATATAAATTGGTCCTTAAACCAACAAAACTTTGACAAACGGCTTTACATTTTAAATTATAAAAACCTCACCATGTCATCAAAGGCTTATGTGGTTGTTGCCAGCATGGGACTCTTAATCCATGTTGGAAAAAACAAAAAGCTTATCAATTTCTCTCATTCTCTCTTTCTACCTATCGTTCTCCCTCAATCTCTTTCATTCTCATTCTCGGTCGATCTCTCCTCCCTTGATTTCTATCGTTCTTCCTCAATTTCTCTCCCGCTCCCTCTTTCATTCTTTTTTTTTTCTTAGACACTTACATGGTATTAATCAAATCGTATAAAAGAACATGAAACTAACTTGGTATGATTAAAAAATCATTACACCAATTTGATAAAAAATTCACAAGAAACTCTCTTGGCTACAAAATTTACATCAATTGGAGAACGATAGAGATTGGGAGAGAAGGAGATATTGACCAAGAGGGAGAATGAGGGAGAAGAATGAGAGACATTGAGGGAGAACGATAGA